GAGACGCTAAACGTTCGCTTATGCCTCGGTTTGCGCGACTACCGTTCAGATTGTTACGCGTGAACATATCGAATTTAGTTTGAATTGTACACATATGATCCTTGTAATCGAGTCTTGGTGGCAACTTAGAACCTTTGTTCAAAGCACCTGTGCATAAATCGGCAACCGTTCGACCACCATAATAATTGGCCAACTCTTGGTTGGCATCAACTAGCAGCACAATGACGAATTTCGGATTACGTACGTAAAATTCGGTGACTAAAATCAAACAAATAATCTATTAGAATGACTTCTGAAAAACTATACAATTTATATCTTGAGGGTGTGGGTGTGGATATGGGTGGGGGTGGGTGCTAGATGAATACAGTATCCACACACATACACCCACACCCTCAAGATGGTAGATCACCCTATTAAATAGGGTGATCTACCATCCTACATATATATAGCGTATGTTTTTCTTTGAATAAACAAAGGTATAAGATGCTCAACTTCAGTGATTAAACTAACAAAAACATATATTTTAATAGAGTCGGTGTGTTACTGTTTATCAAGCATCGATGTGGCAGTAAGTGTTCGCGTTTCAGTGAACACCGATTAAGATATTCGGCACAGTCAGTACCACTGTAGTGAGTGCTCTAGTACACGGCTGAATGCAATGTTGGTTTGAGATTTATCAAAACTGCATATTCTTAGACATCATTTAGCCAATTATAATCTATATGATCGTCAACTTGAATCCATTATACTATAGATGAATAGTAATTCAAAGTTTTTACATACATCCTTCATCAGGCTCTATTTTTCTTCACAAAAGAATTCATTTATAAAGCTATTTTCATTCTTGTTGGTGAAATATAGATCTTGGGAATATGGGTACATCAGGAAATCGTACTCCTACACCCATACCTTCAAGATTTTAGATTGAATCAAATTTAAAAATCCAATGGAATGTTCAGTACAGTTATGTTAAGTATGACAGCTTTTTCTGAAAACCTCACTAACACTAAGCTTTTTTTTTACATTATTCAGCATATCATGAACGCGACTAGACGCAAATGAAAATAACCTTGCGCGCTAACGGCTCACGTTGTCGGATTTTCTATATCTGGAAACCAAACATACTTTTTAAAAAAGTAAAGTAAACTTTGTATAAGTGAAGAAGCAAACTTACTTTTTTCTACAGCGTCGCGTACATTTGGATCACCTTGACCTGCAACCAGACCTGGCACATCAAGAATCTCCATATCCGGATACGTGTTACTCTCAATTTCAACTTCATAAGGAACAGTTGAAAACTGAGATTCTACCTCAACTTTTTTCATATGCAACCCAATATGTTTAGCAAGTTCTTTAGTTGTAACACCTTCTGGTTTGACGACACGTCGTGTTAAAGCATCAGGATTGTAACGAAGTTGATAGGCTACTGGACATCGAGTAGCTATACCATCATTGGTAAATGTACACGGAAAACCGAGAAAATTTTGTACCAGCATCGATTTACCGGTCGATGTCTCACCAACAAAAACGATTCGAGGCGGATCAACGTCGAGTTTGTATTCATCTGCAATTTGGCGTAGCGAACGATAGGCAGCAAATGCTGTCTTATCCATCACGCCTAAAGACGAATCTTCCATTTTTTCAAGTCGGGTAGGATATTATCTAAAAAGAGGATATAACTGGATAACTCCACGTCTGTATTAAAGCAAAAACATAAAACATCTAGAATATTTTGATTTTTCAATAGTGCAGATCAATGGAGCTTTCTTACAACGTGGCTTGTGACTCGAATTCGATATCTTTTTCGGTATATTGGGTTGGTGGATTGGGTGCAGGTATGGGTATGGATGTGAGTGGTGTGATCCGGTGCGGATGTGTGTTTCTGATGGATATGGCACTTATACCTACACCCACACCACATTCGACACCTACCAACATCAACGCTCGCACACACACTCCATATATCACGATACTGGAGTATCGATATATCACTGTGTCCATGTACTGCTGCAGGACAGAGTTCGGAAGTTGTGTGTATTGTTTGTCGCTGAGATATACATTGTTCAAACTTTATAGAAATATCTGGATCAGTTTGAATTTGCCGCAAAATCAAATCCCATATTAACTTAATAGTCTGAAAAGAAGCGTGTTGTTTTTTTCAGGACTTCCATCAACGATAGTGTTTGCTTATGCCTCACGTAATACTACCACACACGCTGGTAATGATGTTATGTTGAAAGCTAGAAAGCTCTTTTTATACTACAGGTAAGCTCTTACACGTTGCTTATCATCATTTTATGAGGTAGGGCGCTGTTGGTCGAATGACTTTTCGTCGAATAGATGATGTGTCGAAAGATTTTTCGCCGAATGCACAGTTCGTCGAAGATTTTTCGTCGAAAGATATGTTGTCTAGAGATGTTCCGCCAAGTGTGGGTGTGGGTGTGGGTGTGGGTGAGGATATGGGCGAGGGTAAACGTGTTAGTGTGGGTATGGGTGAAAGTGAACGCGTGAGTATGGGTGTGGGTGAACGCGTGAGTGTAAGTGTTGGTTTCGCTGATAGTTAATGCTGATGGTATATTCATATATTATGAAGCCGCATTCACCCTGACACCCGTCTAAACTGCACATGCGCACACCCGCCGCTAACCATTACTGATAAGCGACGGTTACATTATGTTATCGCGAGTGGCTCGTTTCGCAGTGACACATTGGTGCACATTCATTTTATCTCATCGAAGTTGCAGGTAAGTATAAAAAGAGATAATGCAAGTTTCTTTCCAAGCTTCCAAACAATGCGTGTTTGGATCTCCTAAACAGTTTCACACTTTTCGAAAAAGATTCTTTTTGACCAAATGCAGTATTTGTTCGGTGTTTTATCCACACCTTCCATTACACTAAAACAGTTTACACAATAGGTCTTTTTTCGTTCTCGATGTGCAGAGCTGCTATTTGAGTCGCAATGGTCAGTGCAATATTTTTACTTTTCTGCTTTCTTTTGTACTGAATGTAACGACACAAGTGGCAACTCGTCTGCTGTGCTTTAATCTAGGTGGCCTTAATACTCTATAAAACCTTCAACTTCTGTGAAACGTACGAACATCAGACCTATGAGCTGAACGAAAAAAGAGGTGCCACTAAAAACAAACCGAGAGAAGTCCCAAAAAACCTTCATAAACATTTGAAAAGATGTAAAAAACATATTGCGTTTTATACGTTCTTTTTATTTCTTGTTTTTTTCTTATATCTCAACTGCAGTGTTTCGGTTACCATTTCGCTTTGTTAGAAGTTGTTTACTGCAAAAGATCAGAAATCTAATAAAACTCGAGAAAAAAACCCTTTCATTATGAAACGAAGAGAGGGCTGACCATCTTAAGGGTGTAGGTGTGAGCATGTGTATTATATCCAACACCCACACCTAAACCCATACCCTCACTCAGGCCCGCACCCATATTCACCCACACCCACACCCTCAAGATGGTTTCAGTTACCGAATATCTTAGAATCATTATAAATATGAAACGGGAAATCTCATAGTCACTCCATTTTATACTAACCATAACTCTCTTTTAGAATTTACAGACTTATCCGTTAAATGTCAGCGATGCCAAAAGATTGCTTGTCAGCACGTGTACGTGATTCATGTGGGGTGAATGTTGACGATCTCAGATGTGGAATTTGTTCTAGACTTGTATGGATGTCCATTACGTGTGAGCATTGCGAGAATTTATACTGTTCGGCTTGTATAAAAAAATATCTAGCGGAAAATTGCAACATGTGTCCTGCGAAGTGCGGCACTTTCATTGCACGAAAGTGTCCTAAATTCGTTGCAGGGCAACTTGCGAAACTGAACATCGCATGTGAGTACTACTCACATGGTTGTCAAGAGGTGAGGAAAATACTAACAATTAGATTGTCTCCATTAACTTAACGTTTTCTCACAGGTTCTATCATATGAAGCATTAGAAAAGCATGAAATACAATGCGATTACGAACCGAAAGAATGTTCTGGCTGTGGTACAAGGCTGCCGAAAAAAGACATCACTGAGCATGAAGAAACGTGTGATTTAGTCGAGGTGACCTGCTCGGAATGTAATGCGACCCACACGATACGTAACACCAATTCACATAGAAAAAATCAATGTGTTAGGGAACAAATCCAGCAGCTTCGAAGTGAGTTCTCAAAAATGACAACTCAATTAACCGAAACAACTAAACAGCTCCGCAGAGATTTGGAAGATACCGAAAAAAGGACAACCGCACAACTGCAAAAACAAGCCGAGGAAATAGAACGCCTAAACAAACAAATAACAGAAGGGGTGGCTGAACCAAGAGATTCTTCACCGATAAATGATGGTCATACAACAAAGTTGCCTCTAGTACAAAATCTACCGCGTAAGTAAACTATTATAAGGTAAATGTGTAAGTTAGACGTCGGACACAATATTTTACGCTACTTGTATCAATCAAACATCAATATGCCTAAGTCGAAATTTGTTCATATGCTATCTTCGAGTCTATAAGTCAATCGCGTGCGTTGAGAAGAGAGATTTTTCTTCTCTTATTCGAATATAGGCATGAGTATGAATAAGGATCTGTATGTGGGTGTCTGTAAGCGAAGAAGAACACCTGCACTCGCATCCATCCCAATATTCTATGTCAGGATTCGGTTCTTGAGCTGACTCTACTCTCTCGATGTCTGATCCGAGTGGAATTAGACGAGTCGTACACGATGCACTACTCAAGTTATCATTTTGAGAAGGTCATAGAGAAGAAAATAACTTTAAGTTTTTAAAACCCTGATTGCACTTTGATCAGTGTGGTTCTTCTTCAGTCTCTACATCTACAGCTACACTCACACGAACATCCACATTCACACCCTGAAACTATTCTGTATATCAAAGTTTGTTATCTGGAATATCGATACTCATCGAGTTGCATTGAGGCAATCTCATTGGCTGACGTTGTGTTTTATTTCAGCATCTTCGCTGCCTAGTGGACCTATGGACGCGAGCACAAAATGGATACAGAATGGAATTACTGTAGCTGGGGATCATGGAGACGGCAATGGAAAGAATCAACTCTCCAATCCCTGTGGTTTAGCTGTTGACGATCATCAAACTGTCTACATTGCTGATTCTTGGAATCACCGTATCGTGGCATGGGAACTTGGTGCGACAACTGGCCGAGTTGTGGCTGGTGGAAATGGCGGTGGGAACCGTGCTGACCAACTGACGAGTCCGACAGGTGTGATTATCGATAAAAAAAGAGATTGCCTCATCGTTTGCGAACATGAAAATAAAAGAGTAGTTCGTTGGCCTTGTAAAAATGGTACACGTGGAGAAACGATCATCTCGGGTGTTCAGTGTTATGGCTTAACAATGGACGACCAAGGATACCTCTATATTCCTGACTACAACAAACATGAAGTCAGACGATATCGAATCGGAGACACTCAGGGAACAGTGGTGGCCGGTGGGAATGGATCAGGTAATCGTCTCGATCAACTGAATTGTCCCAGATACGTTTGCGTCGATCGAGAGCAATCAGTGTATGTATCAGATTACAACAACCGCCGTGTAACGAAGTGGAAGAAAGATGCAAGAGAAGGAGTTTTTGTGGCGCAGTTATCACTACCGTACGGAGTTGTCGTTGATCACTTGGGTACTGTTTATGTTGCTGATCATTCCAATCATCAAATAATGCGTTGGCCTCAAGGAGTCACACACGGAACTGTCATCATTGGTGGAAATGGCAGAGGGAATCAGCCAAACAAACTCTCTTGTCCGCACAGTTTAGCATTTGATCAACATGGCAGTCTTTATGTGAGCGATCTCGAAAATCATCGCATACAAAGGTTCAACGTTGATCGGAATTAATGATTTTTGATAGCTCACATTGCTTTAGTGTTATTATCATATTCTTGAATAATTTATCCAAAAATAAAATTAAGTACGGTTGTGTAACATCTGTCATGACTTAGATTCTATCCCTACTAAAAAGATTGTCTAATGGTTTGAAATTCTATAATTGTTTTGAAAATCACAGAAGTTTGGTTAATCTATCCTCTTAGGGTGTAGACATGTATAGGTGTTGTTGTCACTGTAAAATGAATATAATATGAATATAATATGCACCACTCATCCTCAGCCGCACCCACACCCACACCTTGATCGCAATCAATAGAAAGCATGCAACAACGGATTTTTCTAATTTTTTCCCTAGACAATTGCATGCTAAGAGAAAAAATTGAAATATAGTGATAAAGAAGTTGATGTAATATGCCCATCTAATTAGTCTGAGATCTTGAGGGTGAGTGTGGGTATGCATAGGTGAGTGGATGGGTATAGATATAAGAAGAGTATAAGGTTCACACTAAAACTCACACCCACCCTCATCGTTCCGGTTCCCTCCGACATCATATTCATTTTGAAAAAATAATAACCTTATACTGATACAACCTTCATAAATACTTTTTTCAGTAGTTTCCAACATAAGTTTACTTTCATTTTCACTTTCATATACACCAAAAAGGTATCTTTTATCTAAGCGATATTTTTTCTTCGTATCTTTTGTTGTTTTTTCTACGCATTTCAAAAGCAGAATTAGCTTATCATTTTCTTCGAAATCCGACTTAAGGGTGTGAGTGGGCATTGATGTGGGTGTCGATGGGGTGGGTGATGATGTGAGTGTCGGTGTGGTGGGTTTGCCTGGGTGTTGGTGTAGATGGATATGATGTGACTTTATAGAATGAATAAAAATCCCACAGCCACACTCACACTCTCACAACCGACCCATACCCAAACTCTCACTGTCAAAAGCGACGAATTTCGAAGAAAATCACAAATTATCTCTGTTTGTGAGATGTGTAGACAAAACAAAAAAAAATAACAACAAATAATATTGCTTTGATGAAATATACTCGTAAAGCATGTATGAAAGTGAAGATAAAAGTAAATTTATATTGGATACTACCAAAAAAGTATTTGTGGACGTTATCCCAACGTAAGGTTATACTTTTTACAAAATAAATCTTATATCGGACCTGGACCATCTTTCTTCTGTAGCAATGTATATTACGAGGCGTGGATGTGGATGGGTATAGGTGTGAGTGTGGATAGATATGGATGTGGATACAATTGTAGGTGTGC